TGTGTTGAAAGGCCCTATTCATCAAAAGTGGCTGTTAATAAAACATATTGCATTCCATAAATTCGTAACGCTTATTGTACATATACATGTTACGTTGATATCTGTACAATTCAGAATAATGTTGTACATACAAATAAAAAATACTTTGGTGTTGAAATTTAAAAACATACGTGCGCTACAGCATTCTTAAGCGTGGATACTACTTTGGACAGCGTAAGTTTTACCCTATTAAAATTCTTGAAATGACAAATTATTTATCTACACTTAGAACGCCGTGAAAAAATAGTGCAGAAGTGTTTTTCAGTCTTTTAAACTGTTCGCATTTTGGAAAGGACTGTACATTTATTTCTCAATAATGTGCCTTGCATAAACGATTGTTTGATAACGCTGTAAAATTTGATATCGACATGTAATTTCTATTACAGCCTGCATACACAGGTACATTTGAAACGAATATTTAATTGGAAATAAAACGCAAGTACGATTTAATCAGATGACATCATTATTCCTGAAATTATATCTAACTGCTGCTGAAATAAAATAAAGATTATTATCATTAGAGAATAATACATAGGAATTAGTCTGAGAAAGCAAGAATGGAAAACATTGTATTTCGTACAGGAAATAATTAATAACATCTAAAGAACATCAATAAAATTATGTCAACCTGTAGATCTATGAAAAAAATTGTGGAAAGGAATTAGACATTTTTAATTGGTTTTAGAAAAAATCTTATTGATTTTGAGAAAAATTTGGGATTATGAATAAACTCCCAACTTCAACTTTCAAGAGTAATCTGATAAAAAAAGTAAAAATAAATAAAATTTTTCCACATAATGACCAACTCGAAATTTGAATAATCACATTGACATGAAGCACATCTGCGACAGGTTTATTTGAACAAAACACTAAAGTACTTTTAACACCAGAACTGTCACCGAAAATAGGATTTATTAGCGCTAGCTACAACTATAGTATGACCATAAAAATATTGCGCATATGCTATCATTAAATTGGTTGTTACATTGACTTCAAGTAGTTTTTATGTTTCCACAATGTGCATAATTTTTTAACAGCAAACTAATATCGTTATGAATAATGATTCATCCTGATATTTTCAACTCAAGACAAGACGCGTACATAACTAATATTTGAGCCAAGTGTGTCGTTTGAGGAAGGTTATGTTAAAAAAATATGTCGCACAGTCTAGCAACTGTACATCCGCTCCAAATTGATAATTCAAAAACGTCAATTTTAAAAATACCATGATGTCATATCTTTTCAAGTAAAACTCTTCAAGCAAGGCACGTAGAGATTAACACCGTTTAAATATCGAAGCCTAGAATTATATTTTTTCACGTTCATCAGATTCGATTACACTCGTTCATATTTTATAGCCCTTTGCGTTATCAATTTTGTACACACTGTAAAAAATATCATTTTTCATCACGCGAACCCGTTCGGTTTTGTCATGCCGAATCTTTCTTGATTTATGTGGCTGATATCTGACGAGCCTGGAAATATAAAATCCGAATGATTTAAGAAATTGGAACTAACCACTTTATGATACGAACTATACGGAGCGTTTTTAAACCCTAGAGAATGTAACAGGTTGCACGATGTGTTTGCTTAGTCTGAGCTTCCAGGAAATCGATCGAATGCAATAGTGGAGCATTTTGTAGCAGTTTCAGTAAATTCTCTTGATTGCACTGGTTTTTATAGAGCTTGTGTGTTGAATGGTTCTATATTTAGGGCTAATTTTGTCTTTCTTTACGAATGTGCGGAATTTAACGCGAAGAAGAAATGCTGTGTCATAGAATAGCGAAAATTACCAATGTGAATGTTTTAAAACGACTAAAAATATTTCTTGTAAGTGCGTAATGTTAGGAAATTATTAAATATTTAACTAAGATTTACCTAGCAAAATTTTTAGGTCATGTATTCAAATTGTTGGTATGGATGAACAAGGAAATTTTGGGTAGCGTTTAACCATCCAAAATTCTAATCTGTTCAGAGGTTTCGGAGCTTAGATGTGAGTCTAATAAAATTGTAAAATAAAATACCATACTATAGAAAATTCGAAATTACACTAAAAGTGATACAATATGTCATTTTACATCCAACTTACAATAATGAGCAACATGAGATGTACAAATTTTTTAGCAGAATTTTGTTGGCACAAAAAACTGGAAACATGCATATAATTAAAACCGACTTTAAAAATTTTGCTAATTTTAAGAATAGGGTAGATAACTGGTCTCCAAGTTATAATTAGCGTTAGTTTTTTAATTTTATTTTTTGAGTTCATAATTAAAAAATACAAATATAGTAGAAAATGCTGTCTGACTGCACCAGTGTTTGGTCCCTTCAAGTAAATTTGTTATAATACAACTCAATTTACCAATGTAATTTAAAATGAGTTGGGGAATTGTTTAACCTCAATGGTCATTTTAGTGTTACAATAATATAAATAAATACCCATTATATTTGTGTGATATAAATATGGCATCGATCGTTGTACCTATTATTCTGAAAGGCTTTAATTTAATTTTTAATTAAATAATATTTCGTTACATTTATTTTAATGTCAATATATAGAATATTTATGTGATGAATGATGAATAAAATTTGTGGATAATTGTTATTCTCTAGCTACAAAATATGGCGTTGCTGCTATATCGATTTAGAATGTTATGTATATTACTTTCTTATTTTAATTTACGTTTTAACTGTATCTACTATTTATGGATACTGCAATTATAACAGGATAAAAGTACTACTATAAGTATTTTAAATAAAAATAAAATTCAACAATCAGAATGCATATAATCTCAAACACTCTAGGCAGTCCTTTACTCATAATTCTAATCAAATCACTAACAATATTTGAAAATTCTTCCTTGCCGTTTTGGCGTCTGCTAAATATACGTTAACGTGGCTTTAATTAAACATGACAGAAAGCGGAACCAAACAAGAAATCTCACCGCTAGCATACATAAAAGATCGATTCAATCATTGAGGTCAGCTGGGCTTTGAGAAATTCGTTGGGGCTTATAAAGAATTTGATGGAACTACTGATGTAAATTGGGGTTGTTATTCAACGCGACCAACCTCAACGAAAAGATTTATTCGCGGGTTGATTTGACAAAGAGCTCCGACGAACATTCCAACTATTTTGTCAACTTTGCTTAAAAATCGACCCACGGTTAAAGACTGATCATAGTTTGTTTAAAAGCTGAAACTTCGAACTAGTACGTTCTTTATTTATTCCATGTTACACACGTTTTACTTTCAAAGGATTAAAGTCTTCCCCTTTTAAAGGGTCGAAAGCTCCAAGGAAGGAAGTTTTAAAGTAGCGAAGAGATGAGGCAGGTAATAAAGTTTTTATTTTTTACGACTTTTAGTCAAGTCACTTGAGGTAAAAAATTAGCAAAAGTTCGGATGAATTTGAGCTAACCGAATTTACTCACACATATTTTCAAGAGGTTAAAAATTCTCCCCGTTGTAGCGAAACTTATTACAACGGGCAACTTTCTCCAGTCACAATGCCTAATAATAAATGTAACTGAAGATAATGAAATTAGCAACACGAGAATCTTGGTGGATTTTTATAATCAAAAGAAAAATAAATAAACAAGTTGTGCAAATTTTCGTAACTTTACTAAATTTGAGTAATAAATAAAATTGTTTGTTTTTTTTTGTGTACCTAGAATAATTTGTCAACAATGCTAAAATAATTTCTTTAGGAAAATAGCACTAATGTTTTGCATTTAAAGACCACACTAAAGATAAAAATTTAGTGGAGTAAACATTACTTTAAAATACGAACAATTGTTGTCAAATTTTACATGATTGATAGCTTGATGAACAGTTTGCTTGGTAAATGCCATTGAAATTTTACAAAATAACATATTCCTGTACCTTTGGTTTATGAATCCGCCTTAAGTTTTTAAAAATGCAAGTTACGTAATGACTCTTATAATTTTATTTGTAGAAAAAAGTCGAAAGTGAAGCGCTATTATCTAAAAAGTCAAAAACAAGAAAATAATTTAACTTTTTGAAACTCGTGGCAGAGTTTTCTATTTTAATTTCAAATCGATCCATTTCTCGTTATTTTGTATCGGGATACTATATCCTGTCTATTTAATGTGTTAGCGCATCAAGGTCTTGTCTTTATGTAAATGTTACCACGAAGGTTATTTGGATAGATGGCTAAAGTAAACCCGGTCTTAGATGGGTCAATCGGAATTTAAGCGACACCCTTGGATTTATGTGTGTATAAGATGTGAGATTATCATAAAAGACGATAACGTCAACACGGGAAAATCTAGTGAGGCATCCGGGGATGAATGTGGTTTTAACGCATCGTCTTTAGGAAAAATTCAAAACCTAAAGCAAACACGTGTTAGCTTGCTAACGGAGTAAGCTTGGGAGATAGTTGAGCTCGGTTGTTAATGACTCCCAAAAGTGATAGAGCTGAGCAATTTTCGTCAAATTAAATCCCTCATGCATGCTAACCCTCCCATTTTATAACAAGTCCCGGAAGATAAGAAATTTATTTTCCCCGTTAGAATGAGAATAAGCCCGTCAAAATAACACTTACACGAACCCTGATCTGATTGGAATACAGAAAAAAAAAGGAATGTTTCGGTTGCGAGTTGTTACGACGCACGAAATTCCTTTTATGAAATTCCATACCATTATCCCGATTCCATTTGTTCCTTATAAACAAAGAAACACTTTCTGGTCAAGATTCACTCAGGGAGTTCCATCTAATTTTGATAATGGACTTGGTCGTCATTAAATGTTGCTGGTAGATTGCTTGCAAATAGGTGTCGTTAGCAGAACTGTTCGCAATCGATAGTAATTTATTATACGAACGGGCATACTAATATTCGGGCATAAGGTCACCTCTGTGATGTTTGTAGTGGCTGGAATTCTTCTTTGTGCGAGGTAATTTAGGGGAAATCCGCTTAACCGATTATTTCTTTTTGTTGCAGAGAGCAAAGGAAGCGAAAGTAGAAGAATGGTCGACATTACGAGAGACAAACCGATAAAAGTGGCAGTCAGGGTAGTTGTGCCTGTACGAGACCATCCTAAAGTAAGTTATAATTACTTCGTTTCTTAATTCTTACTTCGTATTCTCGCCGTAATCGCAGCAATTTAATTTCAATTAAGAAACGAAATCTTATTTCTTTCATCGAGGAAAGTTTCTTGTTGCATAATTTTGCAATTTTGAAATAAACCACTGTCGTGTTTACCCGGCGTACAATAATAAAATTGTCTTGAGACTAGTATTCAAAGTCTCAACTAGAATATAAACTGCAATACTGTTTTACTATGTTGATTCTGCGTAATACTGTGGCCGTGTTGAACTTAACTGGGTAAATAAAACTGAACAAATCTTAGGGAGTTTGCCGGTCCCATGTGTACTCACTCTATACTTACAGGAAGTTATGCGAGGCATTCTTATAGAAAACAAATTCCGTTGTATCAGGGGTTAGAGGGATCAACTTGATCAACATTTCGAGCTTCCGAAAAAATAAAAATGTGCAAATGCAAAGTTTCCTATCTTTCACCACCGAATTTACATAACTACAAAACTCGCACGAAAACAAAACTTCCCAACTTTTCCAAAGTCGATAAATTAAAACAGGTGTCCGTACACCTTAGTAGTAGCAGACGAAAGTTCGTTATTACTTAGTGTTGAAAAGCCAACAAAGCACGCAACGAGAACGTGGCAGAAGAGTCTGTCGTTTCCAATCACAATTTAATTTCATATACATAGAATAAATTCTAACTAAAAAAACAAACGATATAAATCACAATAATTTGTATGCCGCGCTGAAAGCACTAGAGCTTTCTAAGTTCAAGAAAGGTACGGCAAATTTTCTCAACAAAGGATAATTTAATTTGCTTTTTTATTTTGAGGGGAGGATGTGGGTCACCTCTTTCACAGAAACACGCAAAACGCGCCAAGTTTTAAGAATTTTTTGTTTGCCTTGTGAAAAATAAAGGGGCTAACGTTATCCATTCCCTGAAAAATTGTTTTAATTAATCGTGTTTTTCAGAACAACGAGAACCGCCGAATTAAGTGCCGTCTAATTTTTTTTTAATTTTCTTTTTCCGTTTTAAAGTTCCGCTACTTTTAGAATGCAGAACGAAGTTGTGTGATAATGTGTTAACGAGTTTCGATAACTCCACCTAATTAAATCAATTTAGCAAGTTGGGGAATAATTAGGGAACTTATGGTTTAACGACGCCATCTCAGACTTTTACCATAAATCAAAACGTCAACAATTTATCGCCTGATAACAAATCATTTAAATGATTAAGACACTGTTTTAATTAGTCCCGATTCGTGGCTCGGTAATCTGTTTGGTAACAACTGTTTTCGGTTAGCTGTTGTTCGTCAATCAATCATGACCAATTGGATAGCTGAAAAAAGTGATTTTGAAGCAAACAAATCTATTTGTATTCTCCCTCATGATTTATCTTGTTTGTTATCAAGCTGAAATGTAGTAATAAATATCTCTCAAGTGTAGTTTAATCCTATTAAGATATTAAGATTCGTCCAAAAACCGAAACTTTTAACCAAGTTCGTACACATACGTAAGTTGAATATTTCATTCTGTCAGCAAAACATGTTAAACACTAACACTTGGTCCATATGCCAGAAGTTCCGTAAAAATGCAACATATTGTTTCGCAGATAACTTGAATAATTTATAGCTTCGTTGTGCTTGTTCGTTTCATTCATAACAGAAAAATATTTGCATGCACTTTTAAAAATATACTTTCCGTTCCTATTTTATACGAAGCAAGTCAAGAGAGACGTTATTTTCCGCAACATGTATGTATCGATATTTCGTTTTTTTTCAGAACGTACAAAAAATTTTTGCTTCAGGTAGAAAAATATAAAGCACAACAATTTTTGTTTCAGTGCTAATTTATCAATCCTTGGTTAAATATTAATAATTTAGCCCGTCTTTAATGAACAGTTTACATAACTTTTGTTTGCTCTAGCAATATTATTCCAGCCAGTTTATCTTATGCATATGTGAGAGCAACAAATTCAGATGGAAAATGATATAAGAATATTTAATGTCGGATATTTTCTTTCAAATATTTTAAGAAAACGGTTCCCAACGTCACCTTATTTGATACATGCACGTTATTTTTAATGTTTTTGAGTGCTACACTACTGATTTCCATCACAAACAGTCAGAATATGGCAAACATTTTCTTTATTTGATGAAGTACTAAGGCTAAACACTAAAATATAATGTACAAGTTCTACATATTAACTAGGGTTGTAATCTACTTACTAAATTAAAACAGTAGCCAGTTTTTGAAGCACATTATTACTTTCATATTATATCTTCTAGAACTGCTGTCATTAAAAACATCGGCCTGTGTAAAAATAAAGAGTAAATACTAATCTAACTTTATTGTTCACAACGCTGCTGCATTTAAATATTACATGATTGTAATAAAAGTTGAATTTGCATACGGCTTGCAGTATTTGCATCCCTGACTAGTTTCTTTTCATAAAATATACAATATCTTACAGTATCATATTAAATTTATTCACATGCATACATATGTTTTACAGTCTCGTTTACTAACCGTCACATAGCGAAAGGGATAAAAATTATTATTGCAATATAAAATAGTAAGTATACCACTAATACTTCGCTACTGAGAAAACGTGGTTATTTTTCGGAATGACTAAGTTACGGGGAAAATTTCTGAAGATATGAAATTTGTTTTAAAGCTTATGATCTCATTTTCATCTCTTTCGCAATAACAAACACGAAATAATACAATAACAAAGTGGTTTATACTTTATGAAACGTAAAAAACCTAAATCTATGTACGGGTAGTTCATCTCATGATTTACACAGTTAGCAGATAACAGTAATGTTAAAGAACCAGTACGGATAAGAACGTTAAAAGCACTAAGATAAAACAACAAAAAAGAATTGAAGTCGTTTCTAAGCCATGAAAGTAGGTAAATATTCTTAATACGTACCACATTAACACTGATGGATCTTTAGAATATAATTGATTGAATCAGTCCATCGTATGTTTAAATTAACAATCAACCGGATCTTGAAGCGATTTATTTAAAATCATTGCAGAAATAAATCAGACGAAAATTTCAAATACGAGGTTTAAAACACGGGACACGTAATATCACTTCCTGTCAACGTATCTTTCGAAACTATAAATTTTCAGATAAGTTAAAAACTAGTTTCATTCATCAATTCCCAATGTAGCGGAAAGTATTCTCAGAATTTAAATCTGTTAATATTTGTAATACATTCATTTTTGTGAGATTATTTTGAAGTTAGTATTGATAATGATTAGCATTTGCAGTTTTAATTATTTTAAGTAGGTACGTTTACAATAAAATCGATTTTTTTTGTGTTAGATCAGCAATTACTTTTTATCATGTAATTTGGATCCTAACGTACGTCGTGAACAGCTTCAAATTCCAAATCAATGTCAGGAGTGTGTCACAAGGTTTTTAACTTTATTCAGAGGACTCAGTGAGAAGATTCATATTGCACTGTTCTGACATGAAAATATTTAATGTATACACATTTAGAGGAAATACCTGTCGCACACGCAATATGAAAGAGAGTGGATTTTATACAGATGTATTCAGGCAATTGTGAAAGATGAAAAATTTGCATTCACTTTGACATGTTGGTAATTATTTTTTCTGGACAAAGTTAAAAGCGATATTGTGACACATTCAAAACATTCACAAGGTATTTCACATTCCTATAATCGGACGAACTAACCTACAATTCAATTCAAGTGCTTTCAGTACACAGCAGGATCACAAATAATGTTGATTACATTGTAAAATACCAAAAATCTGTACACAGTTTGACTGTTGTGCCTCTGCTCTATATTTATTGGAGTGCAATAAAGTAGCATTGCAAAATCGCACAATAGGGTATGCGTATAATATTCAAAAGCAACAGGTTACATACACCGACTTATTTAATGTTAAACACGGGTAATTGTTACACTAGTGTCAAAATTATATTTAGAGGTGAAGTTTCATTAAGACGAATAACTGCAAGACTTAAGTATTTGAATGAATTTATTATGTCTTAAAATTTTGGAATGATTTCTAATTTTCTAATTTTAATTTTTTAATCCACTGAAATTTTATAACGCGAATTATAGTTTTAGCAGGGGATGGACCATGGTCGCTCAGGGCATAGTGCGCTGGAACTGAGCAAGCAAATAAATAATTCAGGAATTTAGTGGTGCAGCAAAGTGACCATTCGTCCAGCTATACCAGTTAAATATTACTCAGTAATATACCACGTAGTGCATGCGGTTTTGTTTCAAAGCATTGCATATGTCACCTTTGGCCTTTACTTTTCATATTTCTACATTAGTCTTCATCATGAATTCCTGAATTATGCAAAGATATTTACATATTATTTTTAACTTTATTGTTGTGAGTTTTTGAGATGACCTAAACTCCTTGCTAATAACAGTACAAGTCGAATTTAACACTAATTATAGGGTCGTTTATTCAAACATAATTTTTTTTTGTCTAGCGAAAATAAGAAATAGGTACATGATATAATAACACAACCCTCTAACCCTCCCTCTCAGTTAGATACAAAAAGATCTATACTAATGTTTTTATACTGCCACTGTTTCAGGCAATAAAGCTATAAATGAAGGGCAGTGAAAATATTCAACCTTAATTATCACTAAAAAAACTGCTTGAAATATTAATGTTTTAACTCACTGGTTCTTGAAATAAATGGAAAAACTTTGCAGCAATGGAAAATTTCAGGTCAATTTGAAAATTCCAAATATTACATTAATTTCGTATTTCATTGTTCACCCCGCAGACGCATAAACGGAGCAATAATATCTACATACATAGAATTAAAAAAATTGGTTTATATTTATTTGGACAGAACTTTCTACGCCTCTAAGTTTTTCTATCAGTCATACTTTATCTAGTTGACTGAATTAACTGAGTCATTGATTAATATTTTAATTATTATCTTTCATCAGTAATTCTAAACATTTTTAACAAAAAATTATTCATATGATTCAATTTCAATTCAAATTCTAGTGATGATGAATAAATAAATTTTAGCCGTTGTTCAGTAATCATTAAATTAACTAATGTTTGTATTTTAAAAAAATCTGGTTGGAAATTCTACAAATGTGCTACTAAGAATATGGGCGTTTTATTAAACGAAAAACGAAAAACCAAGTCATTTTATAAATTGAACAAAATTTTGAGTTGACGTCATCATCAGGTTGAAGAGACGTACTCTGAATGCCTATTTACCATAATTTTAAAGTGTGTACAAAATTTCAAACCATTCGCTTTTCTAGTTGTTAAGTTAAATTAAAAATGGGTAGATGTAAATTACAACTTACTTCTAACATTTCATAACAGTCGGTCCAGCAGTTTCGTTTAATGGCCAACAGACGATAGATTATGAAGAGACGAAACGGGGTACCTACCTTTTCTTAATCTATGCAACCTCAAAAAACATGAAATTATCGTCCATTCGGGAAGTAAAAATTGTAATGGGCACAGAAAATAACAAAAACAACTCCGTGATACAAATAAAAAAAATCAATTATGGATAACAGGTATCCAGTTTACAGCTGCTAATCATTTCATGGAACAAACTACAAAATGTAGCATTCGATTTACTTTAACTAACAAAAAAACTCAGAGATAGCTTTTGATTTGTAACAATTATTATGTTCCACTTCCGATAGGTGTACGTGAATTAATTCATTAACTCATTAAAAACATTTATTATACAAATGCGCAGTGAAACTTGCCAACTAAATGACCCATAAGTCTTACTATTACATTTTACAGATGGTATCAACAGTTACTACTTTAAATTGTAAATGACCCTCATCGTTTTCTGATATCTTGCCAAAATTTAATATAAGGGTCACTGCCTAAGCCATTGGGTAAAATAATAAATTTTATACTTTTTTAAATTTCTAATCAAGGGTATTTTACGTCAAAATTCCATTCCTATCCTATTTATTGTTTAATAATTGTGAGCTACAAAACTTGTTGAAGTGTTCAATTATAAATCTATTTAATTATTTAGCCTCTTTTAACTGTGCACCAATCCATTTTCTATGCAAACGTCGAACGATTCATCTAGAAATAAAACACCCTAAACCTAAATCATAAAAACGTAAACGTGATTTAACTAAAAGATTTCAAAATACAGCCTGTAACAATATATCAAATGATATTTTACCAAGATTTATTTTAATCTCAAATGTTATTCTTTAATCTTGTGAACCGTTAAATGTGAAATTGTGGGTTATGAAATGTACACTGCACGCAGTTTGCTTATCACTCTTTGTGTATTTTTCATCAAGCGCCCATCTGATTTGTCTTGTTCAATACTGTTGACACCTTTCCATTTTAATCTCGGTAGATATTTACACATTTCACGGTTAATAATCCCGTCAACTCCAAAATCAACAGGAGGCCTTACTGTTAATTGTCTTCTGCGGTATTGCTTATATTAATAATTTAAATCAGAATAGGAGTAAATATCGGATAACAAGCAGTATAAGCCTCGAGCTCGTGCCTCTGCAATGTCTGCGAAAATTATCACGTTTATGTCAAACAAATACGTTGAAAGACAAGAATTATGCACGCTGAAACTCACACGTATGTGTTTTACGACAGTCACAAAGGTGAAACGTTGCTGAAAAATTCAGTACACTTTTCATTCTGTTGTTTTATCGGCTCGCATCGTATTAGAGCAATTTTTACTATCTCCTTTATATAAGAATTTATAATAAATAATTGCACTCACATACACCCACATCTCCTCGTTTTCTTTGAATTGAAAACGATGTAAAACTTAGACATAAAAGAATATTAATGTTGTTTTCGTTATGTGATTTTAAAATAAATCTGATTTTGCATACTTTGTATTGAGGAATTCAATTATCCGAGCTAGAAACAGAAACATTAAGAGAAACGAATTACTCTTTGAAAGAAATTTTGCTTGAATAGACGTATTTTGTAATTTTTCTATGGGCTTTAGTTGTCTTTGTAAATTATAATGAAATTTATTCACGATAGTCCCTACATTGCGCCATTGTCTCTCAACAAAGGAAACTTTCCTGGATTACTCTTACTTTGTGGAATTAATTAAGGTATGTTTTCATCTAAACGCTACTGTTATCTAACCAGGTAATGAGATGGATATGTGTAATAAAATAAAATTTCTCGGTTCCCTAATTAGTGAATGTGCTTTTATGACGGTATAGGCTAGGAAATGTGTTACAAATGTTGTATACAAAAGGCCCCAAAGAGCAGACAGTTTTTAGGAATAGCAATGAATGAATGTTTGGAGGGGTAACTAGACATACTTATTTTACAACCACAGTTTGACGTTGCAATAAAAATTAATGAAATAACTCGCCAATAAAAGAAAATTTTTCAAGCTTTAAAAGCATGTCAATAAAACTCTTCTCTCCCATGAGTGACTGATTCAGAGGGATTGAATTTGTTCTAGAATTCGAAAACGGCAACTGTCTTGGCATGAAACATTAAAGTCACCCTCTAGCTATGTTTAACTTTGTGCTTGTATGTGATACATTGTGAGATTATCTTGTCATAAATATATCATCGCATGGAGCTAATCAAGTATTAATACGAATTAAAGTGGGAACTGAGTCTTAGGATGTGCTGAATAACTGCCTTTTAAATAAGTTGAAGTAAGAATAGAACGTATCCATGTACACGTGAACAAGTTTGTTCTAAACACAAATATAAAAATTTGTAAAAGTTTCAATTTATATTAACGGGAAGCGTAGCTGCGGCTACCAACTTCGAAATTCATTTTAGTCGAAACATTGTACATGTATAAATAAAACTGTCATCGATATCGGGATGCCGAAAGTACTTTTAGGACGTTATCGAAAATAATTTTTCAGAAAGAGACATCAGGTTTTTTGTTAAATACGTATTTCCTATTATGAAGCAATCTTTAGCAACGGTTGAAAAGCTTTTCTTTTTGTGAAAGCATTCATGTTTTATACAAAGCGTATAATTCGCTTTTGTTAAACAGGAAGTTTTTACTTTGACACTTTGGTGAATCGTGTGCTTTAACTTTATTTAAAGGTGCAATCTTGCGACCACGTTTCTAATGTTCTCAAATTTGCTTTTGATGTTAATTCGCTTCGGAATAATAGCGAGAAATATATTTAGTGTTAAATGGCTTAACAGAGCTCAGAGAAAATTTTAAAATGTTTAAGCAAAATGGTATGAACGTTCATTATAATTACTAAAATAACAATCAAAATTTTAAAACAATATTCCTTAATAAAACCAGTCAAAAAAACTTCTTGACGAGCGTGTTTCATCGGACCAAATATGAACCATTCGCAGTAAATTACACGATGTGGAAAATCAGTGGGCTACAAAGCTTGTACTTTTTGAACGTGGTATGGGTGTGCCTTGTTTTTTTTAATGTACGATGCACTACAAACCGTGAAACTCCAACTTCAGCTGCAAGACGGCGGGTGCTGATGTCGGGCTCTTCTTCGACGCGTTCCAAAATTTGTTCTTCAGCTTGATCGCGGCCACGATCGGAGTTTGAGGCTTGAAGGTACCAAGATCGCCGAGATGCTGTACTACTGATGTATATATTAGTGCACACGGGATCGCGCGATTTGGAAAGCCCTCGATCTATAATTCGCGAATCAACCTGGCGTTTTCATCAGCCACATGAGCTGATACATGACTGGCCCTTTTCGTGTTTTGGTACGTCTCTTATCAGTGCGACGCTTTTTTGATTCTTAATCCTGGTCGTTCTGTGCCATTCATTGAATGGCAGTTATGGTAGGTCAAGAAACGCTACCAGTGGCGTGTATAACAATTTATATTTTTAGGAACTATTTTCTAGTCTCAGTATACGTCTATAAAAATACGATTCCGAAGTAAAAATGAAAACAGGGTAAAAAAGTAGCCAATTAAAGAACTGTTGTTTTTATGTGTGTGTGTTTAATGCACTATTTTAGTTCCTCAAAAACCTTTCAAAGTATCCTTTTTTCAGTTCGTATAATTAGCAGTATAAATTATAAAGAGATCGTTTCGTTTACAGCACTTTTCCAGTCAATTTTCGAAAATTTAATTATCCTCGAAATTAGGTGCAGGTATAATTCGGCTGGAAGCAATTAAAAAGGCGAGACAGTAAAATTAGCTTTATTTCATTCTATAAATACGAAAAGTGGAAATATTATGGGCGCAACACGCCGGCAGGGGACTCATCCGACGCTTATAATAGAGTGTTGAATTTTCTTTTTGCAGTTCAACTTCGTTGGAAAACTTTTGGGACCCAAGGGTAACTCCTTAAAAAGACTACAGGAAGACACCATGTGCAAGATGGCAGTTCTTGGCAGAGGTTCGATGAAAGACAGGCACAAGGTAAATAAAATCTCGACTCATTTTTATGCGATGTCCGGTAATGTAGAAACGACCGTCCTGGTACAGCAGCTCGTGAATAAATAAATATTCGTTCGAATTTTGTTAGCCGTGTTTATAAAAAAAATAAATCGTTTTGGATGGAACCTATAACAATGTAAATTTATGGCGTATAGCCCTCCACATCTTTAAAAGCAATTTAAATAACAGATGCGTCTATAAAACAAACAAACTGACAAGTTCGTGATGTGTTTTGTGTCGCATGTTATATCAAAAAACTATAGAGTGCAAGTCGTGGATATCATTCTAAATCATTCGAGCTTGCGAAATTTAATATTCCATCACGAAAAGGGTAGCATATTGGTAAATATTTCCGTAGAAATGTGATGCCTTGTCTTTCCAGGTTCGGATGTTGGAGATGTCTATGCGTTTTGACGTTTGTTATTCATCCATAATAGTAGGTTTGTACATACGACATATCACTCCCTCGAGCTCCAGAAATTCACACTAAATTTAGGTTCAATATGTCGACACCATACATATGTATCAACTAATATCCGAATTGAGGGAGTAAAATGTTATATTCATAAGTAGCGACGCGTGAACTACTAATCTTCTGTCAATCGAGCGGAGCTCCTGAAGGGTATAATTCGATAGAGAATACATCTAGAAATTGAAACCCGCTAATGACACTGATCTCTGTAAATCAAAAGGGAACTTGTAGACAAATATAGTCGAATTTTTTATGCTATGGCCCCACTATACCTAACAAGTATTTAAGGCAACTTCATCAAATGTTTATAAGGGAAAACAGACACATTTTTGAAGTTTCTAACATCAACTGTAAAATTTTATTGCATCATTTATTAAATTGTCAAATGTTGAAGAAATTGATTTTTTTCAAAAATCGGACTATGAAGGCGAACTAACGTAACTTGGGTAACATTTTATCATGTATAGGATATTCTTAAAATATGTCTAGAGTTTTATAATAATCAGTCTAGTAGTTTCGGAGATTATCTCTGCCTAATGAAATCACAAACAGACGGCAAAGGAGAGACAGACGGATAAGGGAAACTTACGGGATTTTAGGCATTTTTATTTTATTCAAGATTTTTAAATACAGCTCGTATTATTTATTTAGTCCTGGGTATTGTCATGTTTTTTAATATAACCTATAATTCAGCAACTTGCAAGAGTATAAAATCGTTTAACGTAACCAGTTTACGATGTACAGACTTTATTTACAAGAGTAAAATAAAAGTTTACAGAATTGAATGTTTCATTTAATATCTCATTTCCTACATTTATATTGTAACAGGTTGAGTTCTAAAATTATTACATTTAAAATAAATTAATGTTGAATCAGGGTTTTAAGATATACTTATAAGTTTCACACCAGTTGTAACAAGTTACTTTATTAAAAAAATTGAGTTCGTTAAGCTCTGTTGTACTTAAATATTAACAAAAGAAAGTCTTTCGCAGTATCCTTTGTATCAGTTTACACGAGACTGAATCCAAATTAAAGTTAATTAAATAATTCAAATTCAAAATCAGCTTAACCATGCTAGAGTATTCTTTTCCCCAGACTGTTTCATCTTTTTTTTATCAAACTTCTCATCCATTATCTTTTTTTCTCGTAATCGAGCCATTATTCCCCTTCTAAAGAGGATTTATCCTCATCTTCACATCTCCACTCTTATATAGTTTTCAACTTTTCTTTTTATTGCTTTCTTAAATATTACTTTGTTCCTACTCATAATCATCCGTCATCCTGTGCATATTTTTGCATCCATGAAAAGACATGTTTAGCAGCATGACGTAAATTTCTCATTTTTGTTCCACTATGCCTTTTGTTCAACAATTCCTGGCGTCAATTTATTTCTCTTAGTTATATCCTACTGCTCTCTTTAAATTTTGTCACTCTCATTTCCTGCCCCATTTAATTCTGGTTTGTTTCTAAACTATAAAGTTCAGAATATGCAAATTTTGCTGCCTTTAGTTATAAAACATTTATAATATCCCCATTCTGTACTTTACAACTTTCTACATGTATGTAGTATTTAATTGTTTTAGCTGCAATAGCTTCGACTGTCATTTTTAGGTTAAAAATATTTTAAAATTAAAAATGAGCTTTTGTTATGCAGACATTTAGAATAGAGTATGAAAACCAAAATGACCTGATGTTCTATACAAAATAAAAAAAATACCAAACTAGTGTTCATTTTTTTAAACAAGGAGTTCAATTTTGCTTCAAAATTGACGTGTTCTTTTTCGCTTTTTACACACTGGATGTTACTGTTAAATGCGACCTAATTTCATCCCCTTCTAACATTCCAGCCGCACTGATTCCGGCGCAACCTTATTGGAGGAAAGTTATTTTTTGTTTCTCTTCAATTCAGAAGGTGTAGCTATAATCCATCAATAACTCGAACAGAGATTAATTTGCTTTATTAAATGTTTAATTTAGTCAGTGAACTATTGATTATTAGAGTCTCCAGGGTGTAATTAATTAATTTAGCTAATCACCCGAAAGCCAGACTAAATGATCTATAATACAAAAATCTGTTCGTTTCTAGGATTGGAAGCTGATCAATAGTTAACAATTTATGCGGAATCACAAACATCGCTACCTGACAGTTTTATGACGGCTGTCTCATTTTCATTTCTCTAGAGCAAGAAGCATTCCTTTATCTGAAAGTTGGCAGTAACCTTGCTCTTAGTCTATTTATTTAGTCGTTTTTCTTTTACGTCTAGCGAGTCACGTTGCTTCGAAGAAGCAGAGCTTTAACCCTAATAAACATTCGCGAGAATACGAGATACTTTCTTAAATGTTAAGTGTATTTCGGTGAAACATACAGTACAGTCTTCAGCAGCTGTTACGTTGATATAATTACTTGTTAATCTTGTTAGGTACAGGAGGACACCTGTCATCTGTATAATTGTGTTATATGTAAACTACACAAAGGTATTACGTAGTGACTTGGACATTTTCGCGTTAATTTATTGTATAAAAGCGTGATGTACTGTAGATAAGAAATTTAAGCGGTTAACGTATCCCAAAGCTGTTGCTCCAAACAAAATATAACTGCCTAAATTTACAGCTTTTGGGGAAATACATCACGAAGTTGAACTTAATAAAAAGAAAACCAGAAAAAGCATCAACTTTAAACGCATACAAGTGCTTCCAATAGAATTTTTATTAGTCTTTCTTGATATGCTCCGTCCAATAAGACATTAGATTGCAGTTATACGATGCCGTTTATTTTTTATTGGAATTTTATGGATAGAAACAAGTAGAGGGTTGAATATGTGTAAGCTTCGTATTCTTGTCGGTTGTGTGTAACTATAGTTATAAGTTGGTAATGATAGTTCCTAAATATACCAGACCAGTAAACAAAGTCAAGCCGGGAGTACACAAAAGTTTTAAATACAGCGAAGTTTGTAGGAAATAAGAAGCAACTTTGGAAGGGCAAATAATACCTTAAGCAAATTTTCGACGTTTATCGTAACTGAATAAGCACAATAAAATTGTTTCATCTCAGAAGTTATAGCTAACAAAAGGCCCTTTCATTTTATGTGGTAGTGGTGAAAATATATTACCATCACGATGTGACGTCGTTGCTTTCTCCTGTTGTAACTATCATTTAATTGTAATGATAATTTGAAATTGATTCACTAAAATTTGATTCTCCTTTAATTTATAGAACCTAAAGTACTGCTTTCGCTTGTACAAAAAAAATCAACATTTCTAATAATGGACTTATCTAATTTTCTTCAATATTTCTTAAATATCGTTCACTCTAATAACAAGACGAACCGATTCGTCACCTCGACAGCCTCTCAAGCTGTGTCAAATGTAAAAGCTACTTAAAACGTCACGATATAAGAAGAATAAAATGAATTTATCTTAACAGTTTAATAATAATTTGTTTGATTTTCCCTAATAGACAAATCATCAAGGTGAGGTTTGACTCATAGATTTACTTAAATAAGTTAAAATGAAATTATCCTGTAATTTTTTTTTTTATTTTCACGGGAAATACCCACTAAAATAATTTCTATTTTCCATGTTCAGCAATAGCATGTCTTACCCTTAAAAAGAACAAACGCACTTACACCCAAAATATTTATCAGAGGAATATTTTCTAACAATAATGGAGATCAAAATTACACCAGTTTCGTAGTCCTTGCTGATACCATCTTAACACCACTCAACATGCAACAACAGACATTATTAGCAATAACATCGGTTGCTGAAAAACACGAAGCTTAACCGAGTAAAGCTCTTCACGAAAGACACGCACACGCCTTAAGCCAGGAATATGTCGATAATGAGCGTCAAACGCATGACTGGTCAAAGGTGGAACTATCCTCTGAAACAGGAGAGAGAGTTTGTATTAGAAGTGCAAGGTTGAGGGATTCAAACTAGAAACTAGAGAATAGACGTGATTAGAGAGCAAGTTACGAATGATATCTGTTCAGGGAAATAGCACGCAAGAAACTTAAGAACAAAATGAAAAACAAAAGTAGTATGAGAAGTTTCCAACAAATTTATAAATACTATGAGCTACAAAACACAAATTTGTAAAAACTGAATGTCGAATCCAGAAAATTCCATTTTAAGAAAGGGTACAATTCAAAAAAGTCTTTGGGGAATACATTTTTGTGGTTAGGTTGAACGGAAAATTACAAATGTGAAACGAAAGTGAAAAGTTGGTAGTAGAACATGTTGGTTAGGCCGATAATGGATTGACAACTAAAGGGCGATAAAATGAAATCTTAAGATGATATTAACTATGGAAACTGAGATTACAAAACGGAAGTTAAATTGGATCTGGTCGTTGAAACATGTTTGGTTTAGATATTTCTTTGACTTTAGTACTCTGAGTATTTCTCGAAAATTAAGTTAAAAGTTTTGTGGCATCTATGAAGCAGTTTAACAGTAGAAAGTTCGAACCAATGATTGTTGCAGAGCGTGTGGTTGGCAAAGGAGACGGAAGTGTCGTACTAGGGGATATGGAGATTATTGGAGACGTTTCTAGAATGTTCGTGGATTCTGTTTGAAATTTTGCAACCAGTTTGACCTACATATTGAACTGTGTAGTACACAATATAAGTTAAACATAACGCTAACTATCCTTTGGTCTTAATCAGATATTTTATAAATGTTGTTAGTTCTAAATAGGTGTTGCCAAGCAGCCAATTTTTGAGAGGGTTGGAAGATATAGAAAAGTGTCTGCGGTAGCGATTTCCGAAGATTTTAAATGAAATATTATCATGCCTATTGACCAAAAGGTAAAAAAATATTATCTTCGTTTTCGTCGGTAACGTAGTTGTGCCCAAAAATCGGTGGACGAAAAATTATTCCAATAGATATCACCAAGTAAGAAAAAGCGAGGAAAACATAGATGTTCCTGGAATGATAACTATTAATTAGGTAAACAATGGGCTGAAGACAACTCATTGCCGAAATAAACAGGATCGAAATGTCTGATAAAAGAGACTGGCATATGGTGCTAAGCTTGCCTGATAGATAACGTTTTAATTACTTACTGTAAAGTACTGTAATGTGTCCACTGTGCGAATGGTTACTTTCATGTTTCCTCGACGTTTCATGACCCTTGACCCCTATTAGAGTACGAAAAATAGGTCTACCTATTTCTAGAAATTTTAGCTGTATGTTGTCAATATCTTGTAGATGGTAAAACGCTAACCAAAATTTGAAAATTTGCCAAACCACAAAAACCACAAATTGATGACATCCCCTCAAAAATTTGTACATTAAACATTATTTAAATTTTGTAAAATATATGCTTGTGGGTTGTGAATTTGCCTTTAGTTTTTCTCTAAGCATCTAAATTTTCGCAAAAAAAATCAGATTGTGTAACAACCTTTTATAAGTGCAGCACAGAGTGAGAGGTAATTGCCGCCGACCTCGGAGTGAGATTGGTATTTTCTATATATGTTTTACATAAAGGATGTAAAATTTCACTAAAACAAATTTTATGATTTCTCAAAGAAGCGGGATTTGTTGCTTCAGAGGCAGGGGAAATTCTGCCAAAATAACCTTTGACCAATTTTTTTGTAAAATATTAACAAAGTTAATATCCTAGAGTCGATTTAAGTATAAACTGTTTGAGAAACTATCCATGTAATATCAAATACTTGGACGTAGAAGACTGCTTCAAAGTGAGTCTAAAATTAGGTTTTTACAGACCATGAGGTGAATAATAAGAAATTATAAAAATAATAATAATAGGCACGTGTCATATTGTCCCCATGATTTTGGAAAAATTTTATGGTATTGAGAGGATGGTGTACTTTTTAAGCAAGTTAGATCAGAGTAGCGTAATCCACAGGTTAGGCATCAGTTTCGGGAAAGTCTGTGCAAATTAGAAAATAATTTCTTTATAAACCGCACTTTTCTTGAATTTTGCATATTTTTAAAATTATCACATCATATTTTAAGATCTATGCACAATTTTGCCTTAGATTTTACTAATTCTAACAATGTAACTTTTACTGTGCTAGTGTGCTAGTGTCTGTAAATCAAAAATTTGAAGATTACAGCCTAAAATAATTTTTAAGAGGGGACAGATTTTATACCGATTACCTTGATTTTTCAAAAAAGGAATTCAAAGTTGTATTTTGTTGCACATTAATTTCAAAACTCTCAGTAGTATAAATTTGGCCGGAGGTTATTTCGACAAAGCTTCTCGTCGCCGAAGTACAATATAGTATATCCACCTGTTTCGAAAAATTATAAAATTTGATTTTGGGAATTTTATTTTAAAACTTCTTTTGGGAATTTTATTTTTTTATAAGAGCCCCTATAAGTTAAAATAAAGATATGTATGTAACGTTAAAGTACATGTAAAGAAGCGTGTGTTTTAAATGGGTTTTTCTTTTATAAAATTTTGTGATGACGTCATCAACATTTTTGCAAAGACATGGATATCAATGTGGATTGGTCCAATGTATTGCTAATAATAACAGTATTATTGTATTCCCAAATTTTCAGTAAAATGAAGTGAACCGTTCTTGATTTATTCAATAAACTAAATTGACTCATTCTTTAATTTTTTTACTTACTCTGTATAAGCAATGCTAAAAAATATGAATACAATGATAAATCACAATTTACATGGATGCGAACATTAATAGAATTTTCGATAAGATTTACTCGGCAAAATTTTGAGATGACGTCATCAATTTTTTGGAGAGGATACAGATATATTTTGATTACAAATTTACCATGCTTACGATAACTTTAAAACGTCTGCAAGATTTCAAAGAATCCGGCTTTACAATTTCTGATTTAATCAATAAAATAAATTGACTCATTCGTTAATTTTTTTGTCACCATGTATAACCACTTCCAAAAACTACGAATAGAATGATAAATCTTAAGTATAAACTCATCATATTTTGCACATTTTAGATAGGATTGATTTGGCATTTTGAGATGACGACACTAGTTTTTAGGGGGGTCATACACGGATAACTTTTGGTTAACGATTTACCACGTTTGCGATAACCTTGAAACGTTTTTAGCATTCAGTTTGGATTTTCAAAGTTAAATTATTATTGCAAAATGTTGTTACACAATTATGATTTATTTTTATAAAAATCTGGATGCTTAGGATAAAATCTCAACACGGATTCATAAACTACAAGTTGAGGAGTACGTTATTTTATAAAACTTAAGTAACATTTACTACTGTAAAGGTTGAAGATGACGTAGAGGATTATCTGTGTAATAAAAAGCGATACAGACGCTGAGCGACTGAAACGAGACTATTTTTTCGCATTCTAGGGTTCATGAAACGTCGGGAAAACATAAAAGTAGCGAGTCGCCCGTTGGACTCCATGACAATGTTCCCCTAACTTATGCTTGAGCAGTAAAAAGCTTCATTTGTTGAAAATTTAAAAACACGTTTGCGTAGGTTACTTTTTTTTTATATAAAAGGTAAAGACATTACACAATAGTAATATAACGTCTATCCCCACAATACCGAAAACATGCAAAATAATTGCTGACAATTTTCGCCAACCACGCTGACATTATCTTGACAAAACGAAACTACAAGCCTAAGAGTTTAACTCCCCACAACACCGAAAACATACAAAATATATGCCGACGCGTTTCGCCAACTACGTTGGCATTATCTAGACCAAACTACACTCTTATCTTTGTAGTTTAGCTTTGTCCAGATAAGGCCAACGTGGTTGGCGAAAAGCGTCGGCAAATATTTTGTGTTTTCGTTGTTGTGGAGATAACCGTTATATTATTATAGGGCACCTAGTGATCAAAAAGATTCCTAATACAATAGTAGTTACATTTTTAATAAACGAAAATAGAATTTTAATGGACGCTGAACGATAGAGATTTTGTGCTAAGTTGTAAATTATTCATGTAGCCAGTTGTTCAGGAAATCGATGCGTTTTTACCTATTGATGAAACAGTCGCAAATTGTCTCATATAAAATGTATAACTAATGGACTTTATAGGCTGCCAACTTAAGCTAGAACACTCTACAGAATGGCCAATGAATTTTCATTGCATAATTAATTTCATTAATGTATAACACTACTTGACCTTAAATTATTAGACATTAATTTATACTGTTATTAGAATGCACAAAATTCAAACTAAATGTAATGAAGATAAGACGCTTATTTTGTTAGTGAATTCTAGATATCTAAGTTGTCCAATTTTTGGAGATATCTGTTAAAGTTACTTGCCAAATTTGGGAAAAAATTTACACTATTTTCTATTTTAAAGATTGAATAATGTCATCAAGTAGCAGAGGGTTAACTTTGGTTGCACGATATAAATAATCACTTTTACAAGAAATAACAACATTTCACGAGCTATTTATATTTAATCTCGTGTCTAGCTTGCAGCGTTAAATTATTATTATTGTTTTATGCTATAGTAAAAACCGTGTTTCACCTTTTTTACAGTGATGTTTATCCCTAAACGTCTCAATATTGTCATAAAAAATAAGTAGTTACCGAAAATCTATACATTCAGTGTAAACTTAATGTTCTCATTTTTAATGTTTAAAATTACCATCGCTTTAGTGAAATCAAAATATAATGTCGAAAAAGTTTAAAAATTGGCACGCTTAACCCATCGATCTTCCCGGAGAGACGCGATGTTCGCGGATGCCGACTTTCAGAAACTTTTGTGGGTGCTCAATCTTTAACTAATGTATAGGTGTATTCTCTTGTAATCTAGATTTCACCTGCTAGATTTAAACTCGGACCTAAAAATCAATATAATGAAATTTTGAAATGCACATACATACAATAATCTTGTATGGATCGTCCAATACTTTTGCGTCATTCATCGTTAGAGTTCACAATTAGCGATGTTGTTTTTCAGGAAGAGGAACTACGAGCCAGCGGCGACCCCAAATTCCAGCACTTAAGCGAAGAACTCCACGTGGAAATTAGCGCTTTCGCCACTCCCGCCGAAGCTCACGCCAGAATTGCATACGCCTTAGCGGAAGTTCGAAGATTCCTCGTTCCAGTAAGTTGCAAAAATTTTGTATGCCGTGTTATCGCCGCAGTTAATTCTATAGTCGGTTTAATTAAACCGGAATTGCCTCTGCTGCGAGTGCATGTTTTCTGCACTTGTTATAATTAAATGAATTATTTATATAGGTGTTGCGGCGGTTGTAATTCCGCGTCTCTTTAAAATTAACGTTTTATCGTAGGAGACATTATTGTTGTAGCTCGTCCAAGCTTCAAATGGTATAGTTGTTGCAGGCCGGTGTTATGATAACTTTGATGTAAGGTCGTAAAAACAAAATGGAATATTCACGTGTACGCTTTCATTACAATTTTATGGGCTTTTTGAGCGCATCCACTGGAAATTGACAAAATTCGACCGATTCGTTTGAGGCGAAAGATAGGTTTGGTTTACGACTGCTGATTAATGTATTAATCCCCTCAGCAACAGTATAATTCTACGCTATACGCACTTTGTTTTGCATTTTGATGGAAGTATTAGATGAAATGTGATAACGAAAGTAATAAAGTAAAATGGCAGCAAGTCCAATCACCTATTTCAGTCGTAAAACGAATTATTACATGAGTTAAGTGACTGAGAACTCGTATACGTCAAATTAAAACGATGTAATCAAAAATATAGCTAATTTTACGATCAGCAGAACATTAGAAGGGCGACTCGCGGTCGGTTGCTAGAAATTAAAGCTCGGGGAATAATTAATGTAAGATAACACTGTTGTGTCTGCAGTAAAATTTATTTCTTTTTTATGAATTACAGCTGCTCGCTTGTTTGCCCATTCTGAACAAAACACGAATTTCACAACTCTCATTTTCTCAAAGTATGAACTGTTTTAAAAAAATAAAACTACGTATAGATACCATTTCGAATTTAATTTTTTAGGTGAAACAAAACTGCTGATGTGCTTTGTGTCGTTGTGGTTAAAATACATCAAATGCGAGTGTTTTCTGTAATAAATTCTCCGTTTTTGTAAAATCATTCCAGTTTTCGTGTTATTACTTTCCACTGCTGCAATAAAAGGGATTGTTTATTCATGATTTGATATTGCGAACTGTGACGGCTGTGCTTTTTGAAAATGATTCAAAGCAGATTTAAGATTAAATAATTTAAATATAGACAGAGTTCATTTTGTGAATACATTTCGTAAGTACAAAACTCGATACATTTCAGCAGACATCAGCTAGAGCGGCGTCTGGCTGAAATCACACGCCCTTGGAAAAAATATGACTTTAAGATGATGGTAAAGAATGAAAACGATAATTTACAAAAATATGTAGAGATTTTATGAAGACGTCTTATCTGAACCGAACTGTGAAAAATAAAAACACCCATCATGGAAGAAGCGCTAAAACCGTAAAGTAACAAATGCGACCGAATTGGTAATTATGTAAAGTAAACGAACGAAAAATGATTCATATTAGCTGAAAAAAGTGGCCAAACGTTATTTAGACAAAACTTCCCACAGCCGTGGAGTACAGTGAAACGTATCCAGCATTTTCAAAAAAATTATAAAATTTGATTCTGCGAATTTTATTTTTTTTATGAGGAGGTTTATAATAGTTATTTATGTATTAAGGGCATAATCAGGGAGATTGTGGCACGAGGGAATGTTTAAAGCCCGACGAAGGAGGGCTTTTAATTTCCCGAGTGCCACAATCGACAATTATGCACGTGGTACATACAACGTTTTATTCTATTTTAGTTTCTAAACTATTTTTAACGAAATATTGAGTATTTTCGGCAAGACTGTGTGAATTGTGCCGATGCGAATTTTAATACATAGCTGGCTATTATTTATATGTTGTTATGGATACCACGTTGATTATTTGATAATTCGTTTTTCAAAATGTAAATTAAAGAAGCGGAAAACCTTTATTCAAATGAAAGTTTAGAAGAATTTGAAGTCGGTCAGGTAATGATTTGATAAAGTATTATTTTTCCAACTTAAGAAAAACGTTGAATATCGAAGCGTGTTTGAATAATTAATTGATTAGTGTAAATGAACAATCAATTGTTGCTTAGCAATTTTTGACAGATTTGTGCTAAAAAGGCCAATTTAAGCCCGCATTTGGGTGCTTATAAATAAGATTATGGTTCTAAAATAGAATAAATAATGTTTTTGTAATGTTAAAGTAACTGTAAAGAAACGTGCTACATGATGTTTCAAACGAGTTTTCCTTTACAAAATTTAGTGATGACTTCATCAACATTTTTGCAAGGACATGTATGTCAATGTGGATAGGTGCACTGTATTACTAGTAAAACAGTGTTGTATTCCCGAATTTTCCGGAAAATGGACTAAGCCGATTCTGATTTAATCAATAAAATGAATTGAGTCATTCATATTTTTTTTGAGACACAGGACAGGATAAGCAATTTTAAAAAATATGAATCCAATGATAAATCTCGTGTATATATTCATCATGTTTTTGCATATTATCGATAAGATTTATACGGTAAAACTTTGAGATGACGTCATCAGTTTTTTGCAGGGAGATAAACAGATATATTTTGATAAAAAATTATTATGCTTATAATAACTTTAAAACGGGTGCAAGATTTCAAACATTCAGTTTTATAGTTTCTGATTTAATCAATAAAATAAATTGACTAACTGATTAATTGTTTTGAGTTAACCCTGTAGAAGCGATTCCAAAAATATGAATGGAATGATAAATCACAAGAACTGACTCATCATAGTTTGCACATTTTAGATAGGATTTATTCGGCAAACTTTTAAGATGACGTCATCAATTTTTTGGGAAGTAAACAAATATACTTTGGTCAAAAATTTACCATGCTTATAATAACTTTAAAACATGTGCAAGATTTCAAAGCATTCGGTTTTGTAATTCCTGGTTTAATCAATAAAATAAATCGACTTATTCATTAATATTTTGAGTCACCCTGGAGAAGCAATTGAAAAGAATTGGTCAAAGGTTAGTTCGACAGAACTTCCCTCGCCTTTGAAATACACTCCAATAAATTCCGCTTCTTTGAAAAATTATAGAAAATTTGTCTCTTCTGATATATACCAAGTGTTTGAAAAATGGCGGATTAACTCTTCAGTATGTTATGTACGGGGGTTTCGGGAGTCCAAAAAAAATAATTTGAAAATTCCTTATGATTGTTGTACCTACTAAAGTAAGGCTGATTTTGGCAAATCACATACCCTCTAAAAAAAAGAGAGAGTGGGTGGGCGGTACTAGCACCTGATAAGATAAGACTGATTTTGGCAAATGAGATCTCTCTAAGAAAATAGAGGGCGGGTGGGCGGGGTTAATACTTTTTGGTGTTCTGAATATTATAATTTTTATTTTATCATTATTATACCGGGTGTCTCTTTTATTTGATACAACCGCTGTAAATTTTTTATTCTTAAAGATAAGCCTATAGTTGTTTCAGCAAATTTGTATGATTTTAAAAGATCTATCTGATGAATTTTTCAGATATTTTACTAAATAGCATGTTTGTTGTTGATTTTAGAATATTGGTTGCTTTCGATTTTTTGTAGTAAAAAAATCAATCTTTCCATTTATGAAAAAATATACCTAGTGTTCCTTTAAAAAAAATTAAGTTGATGTCATTTCCGACTCTACCGAAAGTGATAATAAAAATGTGCGGTTATCATCACATAGATCGTTTAAAATGATACAAATTTGCTCAAAGAAGTACAGGTTTATGTTTAAGAGTAAAAAAGTTACCGGGGTTGTATCACATAAAAGAGACATCCTGTATAAAGACGTGCGTATTCTTCACATTTTCGGAGAAAATGGGGTGACCCGTTCTTAATTTCACCAATAAAAAATATTTGTGATGACGTCATCAACATGGATAATTCTAGTCACAGCACAAAAAAAAGTAGGCACAACGTTATACCAATGCAAGAAAAAAAAGGAACGGGCCCAGTTCGGTATCGAACCCACAATCGCAGTACCACAGGTCGCCGTTCTCTCTGATACACCCACTGCACCACGAAGACGTACAAATCGTGTTGGGAATTAAACGTTATTATAACTTGCAAATGTTTTTTTCTAAAAAACGTTGGTTCAGTAGTTTCGAAGATTCTGTCATTAAAAATTCACACGCATGACGGACAGACAGACAGATAAGCAGACAGAAACGGTACTCATTTTTTCGTACTGTAGGAGTCATGACACATCGAGAAAATGTGAAAGTAGCCAGCTGGACTCGATTACAATACTTCCTTAGCTTATGCTCGAGAAGCAAAAAATCTTAAATAGAGTGAGGTTAATTTTCTTCAGTCTGTTTAATAAATATAGTTTAGAACTACCGATCGTAATTTGCTTTTAAGTATACATATGAAAATTATCTGGTAAAATATAGACAAATTAAATTCCATCCATGTGTGAGAAACAGTTGCAGAGAATTAAGTAGTTCCTATGAGAACAAATATTCTGACACTTTGTTTTTCTGTTGCAAAATCTTAAAATGTAAGTTTGTGTGAATTTCATTGTTTTACCTTTTGCTGCTGTCTTTCGATTGTTTGGGTGACCGGAAGAGCAAAAATCTATCGTAGATAAAAGCAAAAGCTTGTGCACACAATATAAGCAAATGAGACAGTCATCAATAAAATAGTGCATTACTCAAGCCATGACATCCCAAGGTATTCATTTCCGTTTTCCTTTCTTCTGGCTGCTCATCCAACTGAAAACATTCATCCACAAAAACGTTGAACTAAAATTGTACACAATACAAATAAATATTTCATATGGATGACCATTTGAAGCTGAAATACACAAAAGCATCCATGGGCAACCTACGGCCCGCGGGCCGAATGCGGCCCGCCGACCGGAAACTTCCGGCCCGCCAAAGATTTTTTGATTGGTGTAACTTTGACCCGCAATGTGTACAACTCAATTCCTCAATTAAAATTAACGTTTTCAAATTTACAAATTACATTTTCAATTAAAAAAAAACCTAAGTTTGAGAAGATAAATTCCAATAATAATTCTTATTGAAACATAGCCATGTAAATT